CGCAGCGCCACAACACCGACGTCTAACAAACCTGTTAATTATTTCATAATGTATTTTTCATTGTATTATTAATTAATGTCACTCGTATGTACCCACCAAGTTAATAAATAAATAATATTTTTCTACTCTTATGATTTTCTTATTTGTTACTTTCGGCAAAGTAAAAAAATAAAATTTGATACTATATACACAGACCTTGTTTTTAATAATTACGTTTCAGTTTAATTTCTTTTGCCAAAAACATTCGTAAATAAAAACCATTTTTTTAATTCAGAATTATTTATTAAGGTAAAGATTACAAATACGAATAAAATGCAATATAAAATTACAGTATTGCGTAATTAATATCTCAAAAAACGCCCGTCAAAATAATCTTCGCTGTATTGCAACGCTGCTAATTTGCTGATCAATTTTAAAAGGAGTTGATGAAAAATGTCATTGACCAAGACTTTTGACTCCATCTACCATTTTATCTATGGCACTTTTCTCAGTAGGTTTGAAGACGTGTACGACTGCATCACCTGCATCGCTGAGAGTTCGCACCATCTCCGTCCAAGCATTTTTCATAGATTCCATGACGTCGCGCTTTGCTCTGTTCTCATCCGATGGATATCCAGACACCATTACGATGAATATCTGAAAATGGTTACATATCTGTCTTAAAGAATGTTAGTTATTTGGCACAAACAATATAATATGAGGCATTAAAACTAATTTATTCATTTATACAAAAAGAGAAAGGCACCATCGGTGACACCACCGCTTGGGTTTAAGGAAAAGTCAAATCGAAATTTCGGTTGTGGGTTTTTCACGGTCAATGACATCTTTAAACATCGCTTACTAATAAACATTGGGTAAACTGACAATAGTCTTTTGCTTTGTCAATAAATAAAAAAATATATAGAAACGTAAACACTGTTCACTTTTTTATCGTAAGTTGCTTCTTTGTAAAATAGATAGTTAGCAAATCATTGCAAAAAAAGACACTTAAGTCTTACTACTCAATTTATGCTCTATTTTTTGCATCCAGCCGTTTGTTTCTGACTAGTTTTTTTCGTCGTAAAAAGACAATTTTATAACTTATTTAACAGATGGCTTTTAATCATGTTTATAATTGCCTTTTTATCATTTACAAACCATTTGATATTAAGACCTTTTAAACGCGGGCAGCCATTTATATATAAAATAACTGAATTTATAATTTAATTTATGACAAAAGCAAAATTATAAGTAAAAAAGGTATAAATGTCTAGGTCTATTACTATTTTTAATAATTTCGAATGAATTTTCTAATAGCTACGTCAATGCCTCATAAGTTTGCCAATGCGTGACCGTTCACTAAATAAACGATACAACTCAACATTTTTTTTACTGGTAGGATTTTATTCGGAGTGTAAACGATACTTTCACTTACAAATTTACAATAGGTACATAATTGGAGATTGGATTATTACATTTATAGATTAGTTTAGTAGAACTAAAACTAGTTAATTTTTCTAGTATGTAAATAATTAGGCAAAGCAACTGCTTTTGCTGATGGTATGGTGAGTAGTCGCTTCGCTAATTCGGTGAATTCAGGTGGCCGCTTTCTTGTTTGCCACCTTACAATATAAAAAATGTAGTTAATCAATGAAATCTTTAAATTAAATATACAAATGACGTACTTACAAATCCAAAGATGATAGTTGTTCTAATATCCATTTCGAAGTTTCGCGAACAAAATAAATAGCACAATACGCTTGTCTTGTTTATACTAACGCCGCCTTCTTACTAACAATACAGGGGATAAACAGGAAGGCTTGAATTTGTTCTGGCCATTCACGTGTGTCACAGTAATCGGCCGACCAAATAACCGAGGACAATAGGCCTCAAACGCGACAACGCTGAGGGCTGTGGACCGTGACTATTTTAACAATAAAATGCATTTATTCAAACAAATTGCGATAACTTTGATCATGGGTGGACACCCACCTTTACTCACCTTTACAACGACAACTGTGTGTGTAAGTTTTATATCAAGAGTGATGACGGACAGATGATATGTTTTAATACAGCGTAAATACAAAGTAATACTTTATTTTAGAAAGTAATTGTCTTTTGACATCAGATCTGCAACAAGTTGCAGTGACAAGTCACGAAACAATTCATTGTTTTTCTGGGTGTGAATGAAGAGAAATTTTGTGTTGTTGAAACACAAAATTAAATTTCACGCCCCTAACCCAGAGGGGTAAATTTCTTTAATGCTCTTAGTATAGCTGGTAATATTGTGTTGCAAAATAATGTTTGCAAGTGTTGTTTTATGTTTCGTATGTGATTTATTTTAGTGAATTTTATTTCTTTAAATAAGTAATAATTTGTAGTAATACTTTATCAAGCTATGAAGACATTATTATTGTTTATTTTTTAGAACTCTCATATTTTCCTTTGTGCCAGCCTTAGAGCAAATTTTGTATAAAATGATCCCGAGGATGTATCAGTTCAGTGTTGAGTGATAGCCGGCCACCTAATGCAATATCATAAAATTGCTTTGTCCTTACACGGATACAAGCATAAACGTATAGATTTGACTTATTACATGGATACAAACATATTGTCTGTCTATACATTTGATTTAAAAATATATTCATATGAACTCTACAGATATTTAAGCTTTATCTTGAAAGTTGTTATTTATTTTTGACATATTAGCATACTTTTAGTAATGAAGATATAGTTATACGCTGTATCACATTTTAACTATTTTTCTTAACAAAATTAACGATTAAAATATCAAAATATACACACACTGGCAACACCGAGATCTTTCTGTTAAAAACGAAACAAATGAAACTATTAATACTTCTTAATTGCGTAATATTTATTAAACTATACAAGTGTTATAATATACTAACATTTTTTTCTCATGTTAAATTAATAAAACAAAAGAAAATGTATTCATTAGATATCATGGGTAAGAAAACATCTCATAGTTAAGAGAAAAACATTATATCATACAAACAAACTGCAGCCTTATATTCTGACAATTATTTTTTAATGTAATGAATATATGCAGTACATAGTAATTAATAAAAAAAAAACTAGAAATATCTTTTCTCGAACAAAATATCAAAATCAATACAATACAATAATAAAATCAACTGAAATAATATAAAGGACTGTATTGACATGGATATGCCTTAATACGTAAATTGAACGTTTTGTTGACCTGACTAATAATGTAAAACGAAGACATCCGATCCACAATTGGGTCTCCGGCAATGGATGAAGTTTCGACCTCATTATTTACATCTGATTCTTGTTTAAATACTTCTTACTTTGTTCTTAATTTGACTTGACAGTCACACCTGGCTTCTTCAATATTCACACAGTCGGAGGTAAAAAGATGTATAGCAACTAAGTTGGTAATACGAATTTTACCACAGGTATGTAATACCGGCAGTAGAGCGAAGAGTTATGATTAACCACCAATTAACCAGTATACATATACATAAATAAAGTAAAAATCATAGAAATAAATATAATATAAGTATGGTAAAAATGATAACTGTAGTCAATTTCATAAGAAACTGGCACAATTACCAAGGATAAAAGAAGTGTAAAATAATATAACAATGAAGAAATTAAAGATACAGTAAAATCAAAACAAACTATAAAAACATATTGGATCAAGAAGAAAAACCTGAAAGCAAACAAGGACTCTGACCATCTATGTCGGAGGAGCACTAGAATAATAATAAAAAAAAAAAAAAATTCACACAGTTTCGGGTGATATTTCATCTGGACGGTATAAATTCGTCAGGAAAGGCCATGAATGTCACTCCCACTCGCTTTTGCATTATTCCTTTATTATTGCTCTTTCATTAAACTAATTTAATTTCACAATTCCTTTAATATTTTGTATATTTGTTTGAACTTTCTTGTTTGTTATTATAGTTACTTACTCCGCTTGCACAGGGAACCAAAGTCCTACCAGTCGATCGCAATCAGGTGTGCGATAGTTTAGTTTCTGGTGTGCGCACGCTTTTACGCGGCGAATTAGACTATGTCACATTTTATGTGTGGGACGCAGTAATAAAAATCAGATGGATGTATGTAGGTTCTTCTTTAGTATCGATAAATGCTTAAACACGGCCGTCTCTCCGTCATACTTTTTACTCATTAATCTTTTGATTTTAGTGAAAAGATTTTTAGGGGTTTCAATAACTAAGGACAGCTGTCCCCTTAGACAAAGTGACTTTCGATTAGCGATGTCGCTTGTAGAATCGACAAAATGTGTCAAAATGTATAGGAATGAATACGTGACAGGCATGTGACTTATCGAATGTTACTCGTATTGTCAATTCCATACATTTTTGACTTTTCGATCAGTGACGGCGATAATCGTATGTTACTAAGTCTAAGGGGGCACATCTTGAAATTAGTACTACGATGGTTAGGTTAGCATTTAATATTGAAACCTAAAATATATTAAACATTGTTAAGGAATTTAAAATATAAAGATAACTAAACTAAAACGTCACGGACGGTTTGGATGATCCATCCTTCAGTTTTGTTGTATACATCCAAGATTGATTCCCACAAGCCGCCAAAGAAACGTCTAGACGGTTGTTCAGATAAACTGCTTTCATAATCATAGTTGTTAATCGCTGCTATGGTTGTAATCCAAACTGCCAGGGACACCTGCTAAAATAGAGAGAGGAACTGGGTAATAAAATAACACTAAATAGTATAAAACAAAGTCGCTTCCCACCGTCTATCTGCTCTCTGTCTTTAAAACTATGCAATGGATTTTAAAGCAGTTTTGAGCTTTGAGAAACGGAGCGGTTTCTATGACAATGATGAAAACAAAATCCTTGGATTCACCACGCCAGGGGGAGAACGACGGGGCGGCAAGAGAAATCCATTAAAAAAACATATAGGGCATTTCCTTTCCTTATGTACACTCTTACTCTATCCAATTACTACTAAAAATAACAGTTAAAAGTTGTTAAGACTATCTCATTGATCTAAATTCCATTTCAACTAAGAGAAAAAAGGACCATTCCTGTGTACTAGACTTCATCATATTTAAAAACAATTAAATCGTACCAATGATAGAAACCTTAATATTCTTGCAGTGGTATCCATTTTCTGTACTTATTTTCCAGTTTATGAAATAATGTATTAAAATTATAATAATGTCTCATTTTTTGATCGTTTCAATCACACAGTATTACAATTCAAGTGATTTTAATTAAAAATCTTATTATGGTAAACCATAAACCCAAAGCTTTCTATTATTAATGTATTTTGCGAGGTTTGGAACTAGTTCCTTATTTTGATTTTTAATAATTCTTGTCCGGCAATAGTTATTTCGGTAATACACAACATGTGTAAATAAATAATTTTTGTTTCCTATATCATTATTTCTCAGTTATTATCATTCAAAGTTCTAAAAAAATATATATCGAGTCTACGTATTATTCATCGCTTAGAAGTCTTTGTCTTAGTCTTTTGAAATTTTTATTATTACAGCACATTTTATCGTAATCTAAATGACATTATTTTCAATGTTATGTTGATTTAAAATCAATGAAAACACAGTGTTCATGAATTAACAATCAGTTTATTTTCAATATACATACAATCATAAACGTTCAAAGAAATATAAAATTATTAACAGGGTAAATAATAAAAAAGGAACACGTCAAACTCTCTGTTGTAACTGACATAACCCAAGGCTTGTGGTAACAATCATTATTCGCATTTGAAGTATTATCTGCCGCACTCTGAGATGTTCAATATATGCTTAGTGTAGATTTAGTACGACAATCAAACTTAACGACTGTTAAGGTAACCTTTGGCCGATTTTGAGCGCGACAGTAAGCTATATAATTTTTTTACCTTAATGTAACCAACAATGGCAGTACTATTTACAGAAATAAATTAAATAAATACTATAACTACGGTTTCCTAATTTTAATACAATAACTATGATATTAAAGGATTAATTTCAAATAGCCATGTGTAGAGTTTTTTCCATCTCGTCGATACCCATTCTTCGGTGGCTCTATATTTTTCTGATACATTGTTCCATGTGTCAACTGAAAATCTTGAAATTTAATATATATTATTTACCCTCAAATTGTTTGGAGAAACATTAAACTCCTAATGGACGGAATTTACTTAACTTTACAATTGTTCCTCTCAATTTCTGCGTGACCCAGTCACCGGCGTCATAGTAACGCTTCTCAATTTTACGAGCCAAAGAATCCCAAGCATCGCTGAAGCTTTCCTTAATGGAGTTGTAGGAGTCATTAAGACTCTGGCGCAAAGGGGGCAGCGCAAACGTGAACGGCATCAGAAATATTAGCTGAGGAAAATATACATCTATAAAAATAACTATGACGATCTTAAAACTACAATAATTGAAGGAATCACCAAGAATAATATATGGAACAGGTGAAACAAAAGTACACATGTATCAAGAAATAAAGAGAATGTCATAGAAAAGAAAATTGTAGAGTACAAGAACCATCTTGTCCTTCCATCACGATGTAAATAACACTCTAAAAGCGTAACACCTGAAACTAAACTATCGCACAACTGTTTAGTCTTGCATTTACTCCTATGGGCTTATATAGAGTTTACGGTTTTGTATTAATTTGAACTCGATAGAGTCATAGGAACTGAGCGTGTTAGACTACTCCTTATTCCTAATCTTCTTTTAAATATTTGTACATACTAAAACTTTCGCACTAATATTAGCAATAACTACCAAATTTAGACTACACTACTACTTTTAATTTCCATAAAATTAGAACATTTTAGATCATATGAAACAGTGTAATTTTATAAGATAGTCATATATGATAGATTTATATGTTTTATGTTTTATATGGCACGATAAACCTAAGTTTAGAGGTGCTATCACTTGCTTGAAATCCTGGGATCACCAATTTAATTTAAAACACATAAGAACAAATGATGTTGCACTGAAATACCACATATTCACAAATTGGCACAATCCAACATTTTCAATACATATTCTACCTACCGTATACAATAAAACGTATTGCAACTTCATAATAATTAACTGCACACGTGCTTTGATAACGAAATTATGAAAATAATATGACTCTACAGAGTTATGTGATTTATAAAAGTGGCACGTCTACGCGCATGCCGTATCAAAGATGCTGTGAATACAACGATAAATCACACTAGTTTACATAAGATACAAATGAAAATATTATAATGCTTTTAAATGCGAATTCTCATATCGTATCTAAATATAGACAAAAACATTCGATGAGAAAAAAAAGAAATAAACCAAAACAAAACATTTTCTAATCTAATCATTTTATAACGTGATTCTAAAGAATCGTTCAAATAAATTATGAAATCTATTTGAGTAATATCACATACTACACTTCACCCGCCAAGGGGTAAATATAAGGAAAGAGCAAATCATATTTAGAACGATAACTAGCGACATAACAGCGCCTTATATTTATTTGACCAATCGTATAAATAAAGGCAAGGCTGGCTTCCTAAGTAATAGAACAAAAATAAAGTGTACCCATTACATTATTTCAATAGCCATATTTCCTTTAATTTTATAATAAAGTCTCATATTATATCATTTATAATCATTCAAATTAAAATCCATAGACAATTTAAACAAGATTAATTCGATATTAAAAAAAGTAAAAAACAAAAATCCTTTGGAAAAATACTATATTTCATTAACTATTCAAAGTGTATTCATTACATTTATTTAACACAAATACATGCCTCTTTTCCGTTTCCTAAAACCATTTCTGATAATACGAACGAACATTAAATGCAAAACGTTCTCTTTTTTAAATAAAGATAAGAGTAGTTTAAGCCAACTATCTAAGCAATAAAATGGTGTTGATTAGGGAAATACTGTTTGTGATAAGTTCATCGTAACTCCTATATATTAGATAGATGCTTTCATTTTAACAAACAACGTCATCATCATGGCTTTAAAGGTGAATAAATCATTAGGCCTACACACAAACTTATAAGCAGTTATCGTTTACCATAATCGGTCTACAGTTAGCAATGAATAAACTTACTTCTTAAAAATATTACACATAAGGAAAGAATTAAATATTTTCAAGGCAATTATCGTTGTTTACAGGTTGTTTTATTTACCATACTCCTTGCGTTCTACTTCTTTGAAACCCTGCCACAGACAACAGCAAAGAAAACAGAACAAGAGAATCCTATAGATGCGACAACTTCGGTGCCAGCTGCTGTCGACTCGAAACCCCAAAAGGGAGGCCAAGGAAGTGAAACAAATAAAATCAACGTTTTGCTTAAGAAAAGATTAGATGCTATAGCAGCTAAATTGGGTGTGACGTGTCAATAAAAAACAAATGGACCAACAGAATTATGTTATCTAATTAAACATATTTGCTTACTATTTCTTTGTTTTTACATTATTTTAAAACAATTATCCCGATTTTCAACATTTGTGTACATCAAGTATTAACTTGTAGTTACATATTTAACTGCAAAGATACGCAAAACTGATAAAACGTTTAATTTGATCTGATTCATCGAATTTACTTGTCGAATTATAAATATTCCCTTAATTTTTTCTTTTATTTCAAAAGCCGTACTCAATAATTATACATATCAATACAATAAGGATATGAACTTCCTTCTTTACGACTCCATTATTTGCTAAGGTGTTATTATCTCTTAGATAAAGTTCGTATAAAAAGATGTTTCTGTTATTGTTTTTTAAAACACTTTGATAAATCCGAAGAAATGGCGTACTCGGTAAGACGAATTAATAATATTGACAATCATTGAAAATCACAAAATTTTGGTTACCATTTTCCCAATGACAATCAAAAACTTAACAAAGCTGATTTATGCCTTAAGAGACCTCTATTGAGTACTAGACATACTCATAGTATTAGAGCGGACGCACACCTTAAACTATCGCACAACTGTTGTGCGATTGTCGATTGTTCCGCAGCCAATTCAACTGTTAAGTTGCGCAACTTAACATCGAGTTGTGTGCGCTCCTCCATATAAGCTACAAGGAATCGAAGCGAGACTAATCAGTTATGCAAAGGTTTATTTTCAGGTGTGCGTACGCCCTCTCTCCATGTGCGGACAAAATTAAAATGCAATCTAATTGTTACAGTTTAGAATATTCCTTGAATAATTTAATATTCCATTTCAGGCCACAATAATTGCAGTTATCTTAATGATATTGTTCCTGGACTTCATAACCGCCATGCCGGGAGAGAGAGAAGTGCGTCAAGCATCAGAACCACCAGCAAAAGAGGCCGGTGCCGAAGGAGAATCAAATCCACTACTCTCAATAACTAATCTACTTAATCCATCGCAATTTGCCCAATTACTCCTAGCAGCACTTACCAAACCGGGTAATTTAATGAATACAAGTTAAACAATGTACTGTGGGAAAATTTGTATTAAAAAAATCGAATTATGTTAATGGAGTTATTTTGGAATCTATTATATATATACCTTTGAAAACCTATAACCTTATGTCCTACCTTTAATTTGAATTTAATAAATGATGTTTGAAAATGTAAATGTCTACTTTATGGTTACCGTTTTTTTTTTCAAATAATTACCAACCATGATTTTAAAAGGAAGGTTTTAAATAAATTAAAATAAAGAAGAAAACAAACATATTCATAACTCAGTTCTAAAAGAAGACTCAAACGGGCCACTACGATGTAACGATAAGATCAGTCAGAGTCTGCTGTAAAAGAAGAAGTTTCTCAATCGAGAAAACATTCTAAAATTCCAATCTTTCCTTTCATTTGCTTAAAGTTTTAAAGACTGATTGCAGATGAAATTAAAAAAAAAACTCAATTCTGTCAAAATTTAATTCACATTCCTTGTCCATCAATAGTCGATACATCGTTAACAAAACGCTTATAAACATTGTAAACTTTATGCAAGACCTCAAAAAGTTAAGTGTTTTAACTCCTTGACCGCTGCTCATTGATATTGTAGACGTCGATGGTTTTATCTTTCACCATAAATAATGTAATAGCAAAGCAAAATGATTTCGGTACAATAACTACTGGGTCATTTAATGGTAAAGGTCACTTATCAAGCTTACGCATCAAAGTTTCAATAATTAAAATACTTCCTCTTACTGAATATTTTATTTATTACTTTAACATAAAACCGAATAATTAAGTATTTTTGTAGAAATATAAATATAAAGTTGTTATTTCATTTTCAATTTATTTAAATCGTATTGCAGGTTAACGACCTCGTGGTACTTAAATTCATTACGTTAAATATATGAATTTAACCTCAATGAGATATATCTCAATTACGTTAATTGTATTTTTTTTATGATAATCCAAATAAAACAACAAAAACGCTTAAGTTTTACCACTGCAATCAATCAATAAGTAAATATTTGTAACTTAAAAAATAACTTTGAACTGTACACTTTTGGTATATTTTAAATTACTTATGGCCGGTTTCCTAGCTACATTTAACCATTTATGTGTGTTCGTTAGATAACTTCATGAAATGCGTTTCCGAACCCGTAGAGTTTTACTCCATTGAAATTTGTGTCAACTAATGAATCACACGATAAATAATTGGAATTTTTAGAAATCCAACATTATTCAGACCCATTGCAGAAAATGTCTAGACGGCAGATGTTACGATGATATGACGACATAACCCGCTGAGTCGTAAATTGAAAAATGTATGTAGATGTTAAATTTAAAAAAGAGAATTAAAAAAAATGGGATTGTAGACACCTTAAGGAATTCTTTATAGAATTAGTACCAGAAACGTGATAATTTGTAAAGGATTGTCGCTATATAATAAGTCTTGAATAAATAATTCTTTATCAAAATGACCGACGTATATGGGGAAACGATTTCCTAAAGCATTTGTATTTCCGTAATCTTACCAATTAGTCAATCTACTTGATATGCATTTTGTATATAAGAGAAATGATTTACAGCACCAACATACAAACACCTTCGTAGTAAACTCAATCATGTTGAAAGTAAGTCTTTGAATTTTTGTGTTAATTTTAATTTGTCTGCTGTTATTTGTTTTTGAATAACCATTATTTAAAAAAAAAATACTGTCTCATGTGTAATAATTTTGCAATTTAATAAAAAAATCTAACTAAGTATACTAAGTTAACTTCTTAAAGAGTTATCCTTTCTTAGAAATTAATCATTTGATAAAAAAGCTATACAAAATATTTTATTGGATTTTTCCGCAGCGCACTTTAGCTTCTCGGGTTTTAAAATTTCTGTCCTTAGTTTTAATATTTCGCTTCTTTTCGCAGATAAAAATCACTTCAATGATAATGCTTTTCTTTTTAATTGAAGCATTATCTGCTAATACCATTGACCGGGAACGTCGGCAAGTTTCAGAATTGCCGATTGACGGACTCGCTAGTGGTTTACCAAATGCCGGCGGCTTACTAGGACCTGTAGGTGGTCTGGTGAGCGGTGGTATGGACCCTTCGAAGTTTAGCAATTTTTTTTCAAATTTTTTCAAAAAACCATAGCTAAGATAGGAAAACGGTTTAATTAGAGTTTCTGTAATAGGAAAACTGAAAACCAGATAATGGCATTTGTTCTAGATGTTGTAAGTTTATGAATAAAGTAATTGTTTGCATTTTAGACTAGTTTTTTTTTAAATGATACTAGTCGATCGGATTTTTCCTTTCTCCCCTTTTATTTATATTTTGTTTTCTTCATTTGAGACAAATATACCGTTGGTGCCGTGATGTTAAAAATTTATGTTCCCTGAAGGGCAAGATAAGATGACATCCTTAAGACGCGTAATTAATGTTTTATCATTTATTTTAATTAATAATATTTCCATATAAATGAACGATAACAGTTACGTTTTTTATTCACCTTCTTGAAAAACATTTACACAATGGTGCAAAAGGTAAGTTATTGGAATTTTTAAAACGAAAAGTAAATTGTTAAAACCTTAGCGGTGTTTCAAAACAACAAGGATTACAAAAAGTAGCTAAAGTTTTATTAATGTTACAAAAATATATAACATGTGACGTAGCTTCTTCAAAACTTATTCTATTAATTCTAGTAGTACACGCGATATTTCTATATCTATTTCAAACATTTCATGACTTTAAATTA